TATAGGAATTTTTTTTAAATCGTTGCAATTTTATTAAATCATAAAATATAAAATTATAATATTTATACAAAATTTTAAATTATAAATTCTTTTTTTAATATTCTTAAAGGTAACTTCAATCAATATTTCTCAATAATTTAATCGGCGATTATCAAATAATATCTGTAATATTTTGTTAAATTAGCATGAATAGAATTAATTTTTCTGTTTAACAGAAAAAAGAATATTTCACTGCAAATAAGTAATAACCCAAATGAAATAAAATTAATAAGAATTTGACCGAATAGTCGTCATGCCGTCACGCTACGCCGTCTTTAAACAAACTGCTCGGACTATCACGCGGTCGCAAAGTAGTAAGTAGTAAGTCCCGGCTAGCGCGTAGGAGTTCACGTCCCTGAGTGCGCGAGAGAGACGGGCCGTCGGCATGGGAGGGAGCGAGACATCGATAGGACGCTAGCTACTACACTCGCCACGGTGCTGGCTGCTACGGTGGTAGTGAATGGAACGCGGTGTGCCGCACGTCCTCGCGTAGTACAACGCTCCGAACGCTCCGCGGGTGCCGCGCCACCAATGGCCAGCGAGTACGGGCGGTCACGTGACGCGCGTGCCGAGCCAGCAGCAGAACATTGCAAATGACAAGACGCGTAGGGCATTGTCGTCGTGCCGTCGCTGCTGCCGTCGCCTATCGCTCGGGAATACCTCCGGCTCCGGCCGTCGCGCGGAAAATCATCCCCTCGGTAGCAGTGCTTAGCGCAGGTGCCTCCACGTCGGGACGTCAGGCGTCCCTGAAGCGGTCCGTAGTCGTAGTCGATTGCGCGCGCGACTCGTCAGGAGCTCCCGCGCCCTGAGAGAAAGAGCGGCCGCCAGCCAAGGAGGAAGCCGCCAGGTGCGCGTCCGGTTCGGTCCGCGCGTGCGGATCCGCGATTCGCTGTCGCCGTCGTCGTCGACGCCGCTGTCGTTCCGTGAAAGTGAAGAGAAGATGTCGAGCTCGCAGCGTATGCGAAAATCCTCGCCATGCTCGAAGCAGGGCCCGATGCGCGCCACCCTGCCCGTAAGCTCGCTGATGAGACAGGGCCGGCAGAGCAGCAGCCTCCGCAAGAGCAACAGCAACAGTCCCACCGTCTCGCCGACGAACGCGGCCGTCTGGCGAGCGCGCATCTCGCCGGAGACGTCGTCTTCCTCGGGACAGCGGAGCCCCGGATCCCTGTCCTACAAAGGTACGATCACCCCCCTCCCCACCCCCTCTCTCCCGCTCCTCCCCCTTCCCTTCTTCCGCGGACTTGTTCTTTGTGCTCGTGGAGTTTTGCTCGAGGAACACGTATTCGCACGCGTGACCCCTCGAGCACCGAAGTCGTTATCACGGACGAATATTTGTCCCAGTGATGATGACTTCGGAGCTCGAAGGGACTACCGGTACTGTCACTTGTCTTTCGAAAGGCATGTAATCCCTGGAGATTCTGGTCCAGTTGAGAAGTACGTAAATCCTGGAGTGCTCTGTGCAAACTTAATATTTGTTAAACAAGCATTTTTTTTCATAGGTCGTCATTTTTTGCGTTATCGTTGTCCAAGATATGTAACTTAGAGAGTTGTGTTTACTGCAAGTGGCAGATGTTGTGTCTGATTGAAATATTTCTCAATCCTCAAATTGTTTACACTTTGATATAAGATTCTCTTCATTTCATTATTTATAATATAGTATAAAAAAACATAAGAGAATGATTCGCAAGCTATGTTTATCGTCTTTGTCTCAGTAGTAAAAGTTTTCTATTTCTTTATTATTGTTGAACCAAATTTTCAGAATGACGGAAAATGTTTTTTTTTTTTTTAATGCAATTGAATTATTATTTTTCACGTTTGTTTATAAATGTTGCCTGGTAAGTATCTGATTTTTGTTTTTTGTTAATATGTATTTACTATATTACAACGTTATGTTTATAATTTTGTTTATACAATTCATAGATTGTGTTTTGGTTATTCACAATTATATACACTTTTCAATTGTTTTGAAGAATAAGAATTTTTATTTTTGAGGAGCCTATAAGTAATTTACTCTTATATCTGTATTGCTACATATATGCATCACAACTATAGTAACCGAAGAGACATTTTTAGTTCGGTTACACTATTATTTTCATATTTATGTTTCTTATTATTTTATTTAACAAATACACTTTTTAGTTTGTTCCAGCAACCGAAATAATATGCTTATAGTTCGGTCTGGTGCATGTTTATATATCTTTTACCTTAATCTTACAGTTTATTAATTTCAGACTGGACTTCTTTATGTTATTGTCTTCTTACTTCTATGTTTTTAACTTACCTCTATGTTTTTAAATGAATATTGTTATATATAATATTATTAGATTATTATATTTTGCAGCCAAATCAAAAACATTGAGCGGCCGTTGTAGCGATAGCTTAAGTGGAAGCCAGAGCATTCGACGGACAGCATCTCTAGATACTATCTATTTGAAAGGGCAATGGCCACGTGACTCCTATTATATGCATTCCAGTCTTCTGGTAGATAAATCTACCCAGGTGAATAAATTTTGCTTCTTCCTAAGTACATAAAAACTTAAATGGTGTCATGTTTGTGTCACATAAAACTTATTTAGCATTTATTTCATTTGATTCGCGAGTATCTTTTATTTTTATTATAGACGGAAGAATGTTCCAATGAGCCAAGAAAAATGCATACTCGTCATCCCACTGAACAAACTGTCACTGATGAGAAATTAGAAAAGAATTACTTCAGGCATCGGTATGTGTTTATATTGTTGATTATATCTTTTTTTTATTTTGTATGATTATTGGAAAATCTACACGATGTTCTTTATACATTTTTATCGCAGATTACAACGTACAAATAAGGAAGGTACTAGCAGTAGAGAGCGAACAGCGGCATTCGGGCTAATAATGCCAGGTGGCCCACCACCCGCACTTCCTGGAGATCATTCAGTACTTTTGCCCAGTATTGCTTCACAGACATCCATGCGTGAGTAATTTTCCGAAAGCTCTTTGTTCTATTCACAAAATCAATTAAACAGTACGTATTTAATATGTTATTTTTATAGACAATCAATTTAGCTTGAGTACAAAAGCAAGTCCCATGAATATCCCAGTAAAACCAATAAGGCCTCCAATGCGTTCATCTATCGAAGGACTCAATCAAGAAATAGAAGGACTTGTGCTCAAAAATACAGCCAATAACAGTGATGCAGACCATCCAGTAGAAGACAAGGTAATGTACAAAATTATCAGTGTTATTAGTTATTAGAATTTGATATTTTAAGGTAGAACAAGAATTTTAATTTGCCATTTATCATTGTGTTCTTTGAAAAAAAAAATAAACATCTTGTTTTGAGAAAAAATGCACTTAAAATTGTGTTTCATCTTGAAGATTATTTTTGCGATGAGTATTCATGTCTATATGTGATGTTTTTTTATCTTGAATACTTGTATTATTACTTTTAAATAGCTGAAAATGTACATTTATATCATTAATATTATTACAAAATATCTTGTAAGATGATATAAAAGTTTCGAATTTACATTTTTCGCAAAATAGGAATTTTTAATTGTTTTTTTTAACCTTTGTTTTATATGAGATTTCGATGATAAATATGAAACTTTTTTGTCTTTAGTATGCACGATATCGCGAGCAAATCACACCCGAAGGACATCGCGCCCCTCTAGCAGATTTATTGCGGGCTACTCGGAGTGTTAACACACAAACACCGGCTACTGACCTTCCCTCCAGTTCTTATTCTTCAGGTAAATTATGCGATGATATCTTTGTTGATTGATTTCCAGGTATATATGATGGTTGTACATAATTATAATGATTGTTACAAATGCAAAAGATTTGCAACTAATGATATAATGAGCTCTTTAAAAGATAGCTCGATAATGACCACAAAATTAAGCTATTTTAACATTATATTTACTCTATACATAGAGTGAATTTTTAAATGGAAAAGTAATAAAACTACGTCAAAAAAAGGAGTAAATCGAATCAGATTTCTTTATGGGAAAATTTATTTTTAAGAAAGTATAAAATTATATCGTATTAAAAAATTTTATCGCTAATCAAGCGACTATAGCTTGTATATACACATACATATATTCTTTCTGGTTAAATGCAACAATATAAATAACACACTAACTAAAGGTGTGTGCCTGTTGAGACAGGCCCTCCATCTAGGAATTCTGAGTCTCCGCTGATTCCTGGTGTTATGGATGCATCCCGTCCACCTAGCGATCTCTTACAAGGTTGGAGCATTTGTGGAAAAATTTGATTTTTCGTTTTCACAGATCTCATTTAACAAATTTGTTTGTCTTTAATTCCTTTGATATTATTGATATTATACATTGAATGACTTATATGTCTATATACGTATATAAATATATATATATGTATGCACACATTTTATGCATATATGTGTGTATATGTATGTATAAATGAGAATACAATTTTATATATTTTTGCTAAAATCCATTAAGACATTCATTTTATATGCATGGTATTATCAATTTCTAAAAGACTGCCATCAAGATATATATATATATATATATAAAGTTTAAATCTTGTAAAATTCTCTTAATCTTATAAAAGAACATCATACTTTGTTTACAGACAAATTTGTAGTCACAATTTAATATAATCATATTATTTCGATTATCATATTATTACGATCGTTTATGCAAGATTTTATCAATTTTTTTTCACCATCAATAATGTGTATATCATTAGATGATATACGACCTATAATAATAATAATAATAACAATAGGTAAAACAAGATATTCTTAAAATCATGTACATATATTTGAATTAATTGCATGATTTGCTATTTTTATGAATGTTTTGTAAATTCATTTATTCTTTGACTGCATTTCACTTAACGCTCGTAACGCTCTGAGAATTATTTTATCCTTGTTGTTTATCAAGTAAATTAAACAAGAACAAATAGTGCTCTTCAGCGATGTAAAAGCCAAGTGGAACGCACCGTTTATAGTAGATATTCCTTTTGTAAATATCACTGCCAGTATATTAAAAAACATATTAAAACATATACTGTGTGTGTATATATATACAATATATATATATGAGGAGCAGACTTTCAAAATGCGTTTTGTCCAAAATATGCAATTTTCAGAAAATGAGAAAGAAACTACGCACTTTACAGAAAATAACAATATATCGATCGTTAGTATGTGAAATATTAAACAAAATTGCTAAACAATTGCTAAAAATGATAAATAAATGCATTTTGTTTGTCTCTAGTTAAAAAACATAATGCACTTCGAAATATCTACGTTTATTCAGCATATAAATTAACAATGAAAAAATACTTTCTGAACATCTCAGACTGTCTCAGAGTAGCTTACAATATGAGTTTCTTGACACTGAATACTCCACCATCTCTAACTAAAAAAATAAAATTTTAGACAAAACGCATTTTGAAAGTCTGCTGCTCATATATATTTATATATACATACACACACGCACACACACATAGGGTGTCCCGTAAATTTTTGCCAACCGCTTTTGTATAGATAGAGCGGACTAAACTGAGTCGAAAAGTCCTCTACCATTTTGCAATTTTCGCAATAGTTAACGAGATATTAATTACTAAAAATTGCCGAATATTGGTCTTTAATAATTTTTTACTCAAATACTATCAATTTTACAGAAAAACTGCAACAGACAAAAATCAATAATTTTTTCTCATAAAGTTCTGAGAATTTTTTCAGAATTTTTTAAAACCGTATTTTCTCATGTTGATAAAAATAAGAAAATGCAGTACTAAAAAGTTGATAAAAAATTCTAAAAAAATTTTTAGAGTTCTGTGAAAAGAAAATAAACAATTTTTGTCTCTTGCTATTTTTCTGTAAAGTTGATAGTATTTGAGTAAAAAATTATTGAAGACTAATATTCAGCAATTTTTAGTAATTAATATCTCGTTAACTATTGTGAAAATTGCAAAATGATAAAGGATTTTTCGCCTCAATTTAGTTTGCTCTATTTACACAAAAGCGGTTGGCAAAAACTTACGGGACACCCTGTATATATACACAAGATAGCTTACCTACTTGAGTATCTGAAATATCTCGCTTGATTTTTATAACAGGGAAAAATGTTTTGGATCAAAATGGAACAATTTCAAGGAGGTATTTTGGTTATATTGTGTTTCTTTTAGGTGGAGGCGCCAAAAAGATATGAAGATCATCTCCTTTTTTAAATGGAATTGTATGATTTTTTTACACAATATCATTTTTATAATTATTCTGCATATAAAAGTATTGAGGTAGAAATATCGAAAAAACAATAGTTTATTTTACGAGATATTTTATATTTCATTCTGGCACATATTAAAATGTTAAATAACTCGTAAATTATTAATTTTTTAATAATTGTACCTTAATACTTTTATGAACAGAATAATGAGATGAATCAATTAGAATATAAAAACACATAGTTGCTTAAAAAAATATATATGTATGCAAAATGGATAATTTTTTAAATAAGAAACTATATGTTTTCAAAAGTATTAAGGTACGATTATTAAAAAATAAAAGTTTAAGGAATCAATAATAAACTGTTGATTTTTTATGAATCTATCTTTCATGTACAGAATAATTAGAGGAATCATATTGTGTAAAAAAATATCATACAATAGCATTTAAAATAGTGGAAGTGACTTTTATATCTTTTGGATGCCTTCATCTAGAAGAAAAACAACATGACCAAAATATGTCCTTGAAACCGTTTCACTTTCATCTGAAACATTTTTCCTCTCATAAAAATCAAGCGAGATATTTCAGATGCTCAAGTTAGATGAGATACTTCATATACAGGATGTCCTATGGGAATGTGTTGAAACTAATCAACTGTCATTTTCGAAGGTATTCAGTTATTGAAAAAACAAAAATTGCGCTGAAAAGAGAAAAGTCTGCAATTTTTAACGAGTATAAATAAAATTTAACAAAATGTTTGTGTATCAATTAATTTTATTGATGAAAAATATGCTCATAATCCCAAGGAGTAATTTTTTCGGAAGGTGCACCATCTGAATTTGTACAAAATACAATTTTTTTACGAAAGCTCGTAAAAACTTTTTCTAACATATTTTTAATATTACTAATAACTTTTTAAATAGCTGCTACTAAATCTGAAGCTGTTTTTCGATCTTATCTGCGATTTTACATATAATTTTAGCGCTTACTTGATTTTAGCATAATTTTTCATCAATAAAATTAATTGATACACAAACATTTTGTTAAACTTTATTTATACTCGTTAAAAATTGCGGACTTTCCTCTTTTCAGCGCAATTTTTGTTTTTTCAATAACTGAATACCTTCGAAAATGACAACTGATTAGTTTCAACACATTCCCATGGGACATCCTGTATATATGTATGTATACATTAAAATTTAAACAAGAACATTACAAGTGCACAATAATTGCAATTTTAATTCAATATATTTCAGAATAGATATTAATGTTTGTTTTATTTTTTTTAGCATCACATAAGAAAGCAAGAATATTAATGTTTAATATCATATGTATACATGTATTTTTTTTCTATAATATGTTCAATATTATTAAATTTAGTATGTGAAGAGATAATTTGTATTTATACATTTGTCTGTTTATTTTTATTACAAAATGAACGTGCAAAAATGACCTCTTGCATAAATCTATACCTACTCTATATATATGAGCAAGTAATTATTAGTAATGTAAGATAGTGAGAGTGGCATGAATTTTTGTTACATATTTCAATTAATATAAGAAAACAACACACTCCATGAGTCATGTTCTCTACGGTGACATCATTTCAACGCTCTTCTTTGATTTTTAGGTGGAAGCCGTGGTTCGACACCTGAACAAGATAGAGAAGGACGTCTCGGCACTTCTCCTCACATTAACAGGTTCCTCGCGAGGGAACCGCCCGATGGCTGTGAGAAAGTCAACCTCAAATTTGTAGAAGATGCTGCGAGGTAACAACAAAAATCATTCTTCCCTACGGCCTACAGTATTACCTTTTACGCTTTAAATAACGATCTTTTCATGTTTCCGTATGTGTAGGCGGCCCATGATAGATTTGAGCAAACTAGACTATTGCCCAAAGCCGTGCGTTCCAGCATTCCAGTTGAAACCCAGCTTGGGATCAGCGTTCCTGCCATTGCAACAGCCGGCCAGTCCGACAATGGTCGCCAGTGCATCACCCTCCGCGCATACAACACCGACCACACCTCCTCCAAATCCATAGTCCCACTCTTTACCTTGCGGTGTTACACTTATAAGCTCGATTAGTATATATACATATATATATATTTTTTTTTAACGATCTTGTGGGTAGAAAGTGATTTACTTCGAGATAAAAACATATAACGACAAAGAAAAGTTACCGAACAAAAGAAAAAGAACAGTCTGTTCCCAGTGCGCCCCGTGCGAATATCGTGCAGGTTTGTGAATTGTGTAATTAAAAGGAAGTTGCAATTGCATCGATAAAAAAAGAAGTATTGGAAGACATTTGAGCTCCGTTCTAATGATTGAAACAATAATAAATACGAGGAACAATAATTTGTGATAACTAAAAGAAAAAAAACAAAAAGAAAAGAAACGACAAAAAGTTTAGAAATGAACATTGTGTTCTACAGGGAAAAAAGACTAATGAAATTGTGTATTCTAAATTTAGTGCTAAAATGTGCTAAACAACTTTAGTTTTGTATACACGAATAAATATTCAAGATGAGAAAAGGTATTAAATTTCATTGTTGGAATAAACAAAATTCTACGGATACAAAGAAGAGAGCACGTGTTCACAATATGTATATGCATATGCATGCATATGTATATATACATTGCTGCTTGTCTCTGATGTTTATTAGATCTTTATTGCTTGAAGTAACTCAATTACATAGTGACAGAGATGAAATCACTTGTTAGAATTTTGTATCGTTTTGTATTATTACTTTTTTGTATGCTAAAAATATTCTCAAACTATTATTGTACAAGGAGCTAAAAAATAATGTATCCCTCTGTGTGTATGTATGTGTGCGCGCGCGTGTTTCTTTGTTTTACAGAAGTGGCTTTATGAGAACGATTGTTTTCGACGAGCAATCGATTGTCGTGAAAATTTGTTTGGAGCTGCATATAAATACGTTTATGGATCTATTTTTGACAAATAGAATTAAGCAACTTCACATTTTAAAACATTATTGAAATTGAATTTAATATTTTAGAGTACTTCACTTTATTTGGAATTGATGTTTTTTCTCTTCTATTCTATCTTGTGACAATACCATATGATTACAATGTTTTTATTTATCATATTTTATATTACTTTGCAATCTGAATATGTACAACCAACACAACATAAGTGACAGGTTGATGAATATATGATAGAACGAGATATAAGAATGAATTTGTATCGAGATAGAAACGATGAGTGATAATGCTAAACATTGATTCACGACATGTGCTTTCGCTATGGTATCAGATGAGTAAAAACGACTCCCTAATCTGGCGCGGAAGATAAGTGTGCCTGTTTTGTATAGACGTGAATGATTATCCTGAAAACATAATCTACGTCTTATACAAGTATGCGTGTGTTGTAATATCGAAATCCTGATTAAGCCATTTTACACGAATAACTTTAGAAAGGATCGATCCAGTAAAATTAATTTCAGCACGTAAAATATTTGCTCAAACGCAGTTCGACTATCAATCTTTATGTTATATTAAATCATTAGCGATTCAGGTAAAAAAAGGAAACTTGCTTAAATTGTCGTCGAAGACGCTTATTGCATTATTAGTAGAAATTTAAAAAATACTAAAGATTGTTACATAAAATATAAATACGAGAGAAAAAGAAATTGAAAGTTATTCGTGGAATGGGTTAAATTTTATATTGGTATTGTTTAGTATACGCAGACATAGCCACTCAAGAAGTTCAAGTTTATTTTTTGCTTTCTAATACGAAAAGTTTTTGCAAACGATTTTTATAGTTACTGTCTGTGGAAAATAAAAATCTTGATAGAGTGTAAAGTCAAGAGAGCAGAAGGAACGGTTTTTTAAATACGATAGTAATATACTTTCTAATAATATGTAATGTATATCTAGCTACAACAGTGAAGAAAAAAAAAGAATGTTAACACATAAGTACCTGGCACACTGGTCTATGCTCTCTCTTATCCAGCTCACTAGGAAGTTCATGCCTTAGAATGCGTGGTAAGGTGTGCTACATAGACAGGAAGGTTAATCAGAGAGTCAGGATATACACAAAAAATGCACTGGCTAGTTAAAGTGTATACAAAGATACTGTAGTATTTACTAGTTTAAGAGAATTTCGTTTGTATTTATTTTGCTACAGATCTAACGACACCTCGTACCACTAACTTTGTCGTATATGTATATCTGGGTGTGAAGCAGCTTTTGAGGGAAAAAAAAAGTATGAAGTACGTATATATTCATACATACTTCAATCTGTGCTTTGCACTTCAAACGGAGAATATATTCCGACGTAATACGACGACAATGTATAATTAACGTTAATGAATAAAATGAAAGAACAGGTTTTCGTACATTTAATAATGAGCAGTAGATGAAAAAAAAATGATTTCAGCAAACGCTAGCCTCGTTATTTTCACCGCACTCTTTCAAAAGACTCCACTCTTTAACCTTCGTGTACTTGCATAATGTGTTATCATTATTGTTAGCTTTTGTTGTCAATTCTGTAAGCAGAGTAACGCGTATGAAGACTGCTGGAACTAAGAATATTACCTGTTATTTGAATATACCTAAAAAAAGAATCTAAAGTTAAATAATTAGGCTCAAATCATACCGATTACCTATGAACGAGTATATAATACACAAATATATTCTCTTGTAATTTATTAAATAATCTCTTTACGCACGCGCGCGCGCGTCACTATTGTTCGGTACATTCTCTCTACATATCTAAATCTGAGCAGGCTTCAGAAACGGCAAAACGATTATGTCAATTAAAAATTTATTTAACCCTAGGACAGTCTATAGATGTATCGTTGCAGTATCTTGCACAAAAAACGAAAATGATTGTTGATCGTATATTGTAATTTGTAAGATGCTCAGAATTATATAAACTTTTCACTACATAAAAACATGTATGTTGTATAAAATATCTTAAAAAAAAAATTTTATATACCTACTGAAATTAAATGCAACTTTTATTCACTGTTTTATAATAAATATATAAAACATTATTTATTGTTTTTTTTTATTCTTTAAGAGTTATTGTCGACCTATTTTCTAGATTTCAGTACTGCTCTTGTAAATATAATGTAGATTATAAAATATTTCGATGTACCGAGCAATGTATTTATGCTATTTGAATGGTGCATATATATTTGCTAAAATAATCAAAGTTTGACATGTTTAATTCAGTTGAAAATAACAAAGCTTGTATGAATAAGCACTCATTTATTTCATTCTTTAACACATATTTACGTTATATCGATATGGTTTACGAATATAAAACATTGGATACAAAACGATTGTTAACCAATTGATATTTACAAAATTGAAATTTTATAATTTATCATATAATTTGTATAAATTTACCAGCTTGGCCTTATAAATATAAATATATTGGAATTTCTAAAATAACAAACATAATTGTTGGTCTTATAATTAGTTGTGACATTCTCAATATTCCAGAAGAGTATCTTACAATGCTATATTATATTATTGCTTTCATTCTATTTTGTAGATAGTGTTGGAATTTGTTTAGTTTCTAACTGGTCCTAGGGCTAAATCAAAATTAGTCAGAGAAAAGAAATAGAGTACGTAAATAAGTTAAAAACGCTTCTTGTCTAACCATTTCTGATACAGAACATAGTAATGCATATTTTTGCAAAATTAAAGTTTATTGATGAAACAACAACAGCACGTTCGTCACACACACGCACACACACATATACACAGGGTAATCCAAACCAGCCAGAGGAACCGGCATGTACGTACCGTTTATGAAAAATTGAATCGAAAAGTCCTCTCATTTTACAATGATCGCAACAGTTAACGGGATATTAATTTCTAAAAATTGCCGAATAAGCGGGTAAAATCGATGTGCAAGACGATATTAAGATATCTTTCAAAGTTCTTTATGAAATATCTCAAAGATATTTCTTAAAGAACTTTTAAAGATATCTTAAAGTTGTCTTATGCGTCGATTTTAGATATTCTGCTTATTGGGTAATTAAAAAAAAATTGTGAAAATTACAAAATGTACTAATAGAAGACTTTTTGATTCAGTTTTTCACAAACAGTACGCACATGTCGGCTTCTCTGGCTGGTCTGGATCATCCTATATATATTATACACACACATATATATATGTATATTAATGTGTACATATACAACACTAATTTCGTGCTCATATTTTCGCAATAATTAGTTGTTATTTAGTAACTCGTTAATTTTGCTTAATAAAGATGTTCCAGGATCGAATATATATTTTCGAAATACGGAAATTGATATTAAATAATTTTGCTTCACATATTCATTAAGAAAATTTATTTCAATTTTTAACAAGAAAAACTGATATATATATATATATATTATTCTGAAACAATTTGTATATTCTTGTTCTGTATATTCTTTATCAAACGATTTATTGGCTTTATAATCTCATAAATAAATTTCAATATTACAATACTATTTCATCCGATATAGGCTGGGGGTATAATGCACGTGACGTAAACTATAGATTTTCAATACTGGCAGTAAATTTTGGAACACTGCCATAATATAGTTTGTTAAATATCTGTTTTTGCAGTTTTAATAATATTTCAATATATTCATGATCAATTATCACAAATGTGTATTCAGGATTTGTATAAAAATATATAAAACAAAGTTAGCATTGAGAATATTAGATAAAATTTTGTGCTTTTTAATATCTATATTAAATACCTTGTATATCTATATTGAATACCTTGTATGATTTATTTAAAATTAAAAATTTTAATTCTGTCATTTTTTATAGCTATTTGAGAAAATGACATGATTTAATAACGATGTTTATGAATATAATTATTATAATACTGCGATTGTGATGTAATGTAATTTAAGCTCATGATATTTCGTTTGGCCATTGATATAAACACATCGACTGTTGCGTGATGGCTTCATAAAATGATATAATTATTACTGATCTTTATTCGTCGATTATAGGAAAAAAGAAAAACGTTAATAATAACAAGTATATTTGTAATTCTAAGCGTACCATGCTATTAAGGAAGAAAGAACTTCTCTCAATATGGAAAGGTGAGCACAGCCAAAGTGTTGCCTAGTACAAATATATTGTAAAAAATGGATTGTTGTTTAAATGAGCCGAAAGTGCTACTTGCGTTTTGCGCAGATTTATTTCGAGATACACTTATTTTTTTTTAATATCCTTGATCTCATGAGTCCTCTTATTATCTTACCTCTCCATAGTGAGAATATCTTATCTAAGTTATTAAAATTCATGTTTTTATATGCGCGATTAGTTGTACTCTGATTTACCGGCATAATATTATATGTACTTATTCCAATAACAATATGCACCTTTATTTTTGTCATAAAGGATAAATGAAAAAATGTACCTTTTTATATTACTATTAAGACGCCTTACACAAATAAACTTTTTAGAAAACGAGATCTTGTAATTTGATACGCATTATACTTTGTTTATTATAGATAACAATTTATTTAACACGTTTCAATTATACGAATAAGAGAATTCATATTATTTATTAAATAGTTATTTCCTTCATTCTTAAAAAAAGTTTATGATATATATCTGAATAAATTTATATTTCATTCAACAATTAGTATATATATGTATACATATTTTTAAATGCTTTTATATATATATTATATATATCAAATTTATATTTGAGCAAACATTAATTTGTTTTATTACTATTTTTTATAGCATGTAATTATATTTAATTATTAAGGTTCATAGATCAAATAAAACACTACTAATATTGCGTTGAATTTAACAAAAATAATGTAATTTATTATCTTTAAACTTTCTTCTGTAATCAAATTGATAGGATTTCAGATTGGGATAATAATTTTTTTGTAATAAAATATTTGAAAAATATAAATCTTATTTGCATAGAAAAGACCAGCTTTTAATCATTTTTTGCTACATATTAATCTCATACACATGCTGAGCATCATATATTGTCGCATGTGCATAGATATATTCTTATTTACATAGATACATGCAACAATGCTTATTTGCTTCATCATCAACAGTGTATATTGTATATAACAAGATACTTGTCTGACGCAATTAAATTAAGATTTTTTTCTCATTATGTACAAATTGGCTATAAAAATTGTCATGATTATAAACCCATATATTGAGGGGAGGAAGAAAAAGTATTTCTTGCAGAATTATTTTTCCTCGATTCCTCAGCATTAGGAATATCACTGAAAATAGAAACTGATGATAATATTTTGGCAAAAATATAAAAATATACTGAAAAAGATGATCTTTCTTTAAGAATGGAATTTTTTGTCTTGAATCTGATCCATCTTTGCATTAAAAGTGACAAATTCCGATATATATCATTTTTCAGATAAACGCCAAAATCATATACTTAATTGTACTTAGCGCTAAATATAAATAATTATACTTAGCGCTAAATTCAAGTGGATATACATCTACAGTTATATTTAAAAGAGAAATTTCTTAAATTTATACCAGTGTTGTCCAATTTATCAAAAATGATTCTTGTAGATTAAATAAGTTACCCAAAGAAAGGCATCAGAGACACGAGAGTCTGCCTGCTTGGCCTACACGCAAATACGGGTGAACACTGCGCTATGCGTCCGACGACACGTCGTAACCATTGCTGCAGCCTTTGCCGTCGTTCTTCCACAAATTTCGCATCCTAAGTCATTAATAATCATTTGTTACATCTAAAGATACTTATATTACGAATTTATGTTTCAATATATTTACAACTTACCTTATTTCCTATCGTTTTTTTTGGTGGAAATTCAAAAGTTGTAACAATAGTATCGTGTTTCTTTAGCTCTCTATAAAGCGCATAAAATTGAGCATATCGCCGGTAAATGTTCCACTCTATGTCTCTTATGCGTACATAAATCTATGTTTAACACAATGAATACGCAAATTACATAGGAATCACTTTAGTGAAGATTTTAGAACATAAAAGACGATCGTACTTGATAAACATGATGGACGTCAGACGATTGTCCTGTAAGAAACGCCGATGGAATCCATATGTGAATAAGACATGGTGGCTCTGCAGGTAAATCGTCCTCGTTTAACGGTCCTCGGAGACACTCCAATTCCGTTTGTAACATTTTTACTAATCTATCTCTATATAAAATTGAACAGTATAGAGAAATATTACAAGATTATTCGCGCGACTTTGTATTAATACAATACCTGTTTGTCAATTGCATTGTCAATCTAGCATTGAATTCCATTAACTCGGCATGCATGTCTGCAACTTGTATTAACTTTTCTTCATATTGTCGCGCCTCATTGTGATAGTCCAACGATGGATCTTCCTCGGATACTGTTGTGGAATTGGAATCTCGTCTTAACATCTGAACAGCAGTGACATACTTACGCAGTTGCTGTCGTAAGAGTTCATTCTCTCTGCATAATTAAAAGTAAATAAAATCAATATAAATTATACTATTAGGGTTGCGTTTGAGAAGCGTGTTATCATCGGTAGTATTACATAATTTTATTCTTGTTTCATGTGTAATGAACGATAAAGATAAAATAATACAATAGCACTGACAGCATATAAACAATCATAATTACCTGTTCAATGTTTGCAACTGTAATTCATGCCTTTCTAAATAATGTTGATGTTGCCTCTGGAAACGAGCTAATTGCAATCTGCTTGTTATAGCATCTTCCCTAGCTTGTTCCAGCACTTCCGTCATAGCTAAAAGCCTTACACGTAATGTATCTACATCTAAATTTTCTGGATCTATATGGAAATCTAAACCAACTAATGGTTCTGTTGCTTCCAATGCAGGTTCTGTTATTTCTGATGAATCCTAAATGGAAATAAAATTCAAAAATATGCATATACCTTGCATGTTGTATCAATTGACTTGCTCTTAATGAATATTTTCCATTTGATGCCACAAGTCAACACAAGTCTCCTTCTATCCTTCTTGACATTCAGAGAGTGACAAAGATAGAATGACACTTGTATCAACTTGTGTTGACTTGTGTCATCAAATCGAAAGTACCCAATATAAATTTTTCTATTATAAATATTTACAATACGTTCACAAATCTGCTTTAATTGTTAAATATTTATAATAATAAAAAACACATTACTCTTTCGTTAAAGATAATTAAAATGTAAACTTACATCTAAGTAATTTGGCAGACTAACTAACATATCATCTAATGTTTGATCAAGTGATGAAACAGGTACAAGGCCGCCCAAATTTCCAGTATCCATTACAGGAGTTAATATTTTCTCCTCTTCAAAAGATTCACTGCAGAGATTAGAAAATTTTTATGAAAAAAATCATTTTGTACCTATTATTATATTAGTTATTGAGAAAGATATTTACCATTGTTCCCAGTCCGGAAGTTTTGTATTGATCGCTGTGCTGTCATTAGAATCTATTTGAGGTTGGCAATCTGATAAACATGGGGAAGTAGAATCTTTAGTTGGCGTTATCGTAGGAGAACTAGGGCACGTTGGTGGTGCACTAATAGAAGTTGCAATTTCCCTGCGTTCTTCTTCCTCATGATCATCAAAAGAAATTATGCGAGTTTGCACTTTCTTTTTTCGCTTTTCTTGTTCAGACGGGAGAGATTCTGTTGAATAATTAGCATAATGATTAATAACTCAATACTAACAATTACACTACAATAGCTTTAAAATTTTTTCTTTTAAATGTTGATATAAAAAATTAATTTTTTCACTTTATTAATTTAAGTTCGTTTTAATTAAATAATTACAAATTTAAATTTTTTAAACAAAATTTTATCATATTAAGAAATTTAAAAATGAAAAGTTATAATAAACGTTATAAATAAATTTTACAACTTTATGAGTTATGAACATAATTTTTAACAGATGTGAGAAATATTCTATCCCACACACACACACAATTTAATATCTATATTTAATACATACCTGGTATTACTGTAGAAATAATTGGTTCTGATTGCGCATATCTATTTCTGTCTATTCCTCTTCCATTTAGATCATCAAGTTCCTCATTGTCTGTTCTTATTGCAAATAAAATGGTACCAAGACCTAATAAATATACATGTGTATGATAAGATTAATTATTTTTCGATAAGAATACGGTAAAGTATTATTTAAGAAAAAATACCTGCAGCTATATTAGGTAACACAGAATTCTTTTCTTGATCAAGTAAAAAGGCCCATTCTTCATAAAAAGGTGACAATGTATTAGGATTTATAATGGCATGTAAGTGCCGTTCTAGAGATCTTTCGTTCAAGACAGCTCTCAGCCATGCTCTGCCTCGACCATAATCCGTATGAACTTTTCTTAACATACTAAAACGTTCCTGCTCATGCCAAGTAAGTTGATCCTTTATGCATGGCCAGAATGCTATATCTGCTACATTGCCAAGTTTTGTATTACCACCAGAAACCAAATCAGATACATGTCTATGAAACAAATATAAACAAAAATATTTCTGTTAATCCGACATACTCTTATGAGATATCGCAATTTAAAGTAATTATGATTGCTTGTATTTTTTAAAACTATTCAAAATTATAAATTTATCAATAGGAAAAACTCCATGTACATTTATCATCTTGTATTTGTCATCTGATGAGTCATATGATAGATAAAGCCATAAAGCATGTCTGTTTTATGACCTTGTATATGATAATACAGGATAAAAATGGAAGAAAACAGATAAATAACATAAAATGCATTACAATACTATAAACATTACCTGAATGCTGAATTAATTTTTTCTATATAATTTGTCTTTAACCCATGACTAAAAATCAATTCAAATATATGGCAGAGCTTTGCAACACATGCTTCTGATTCTGTAGCTAATTCTGCACGTCCACCAAACCTGACGTGGCATTCTTTTGCAGATACTAATAGATCTTCCAATAATTTTTCCTTCTCAATTGCATGATCTACTACATTATGTGTATTTGGCACTATCGCTGACATAATACGCAAAGCCTAGGACAAATAACATTTTAAGAAATACATCAAAATCAACAGTTTCGGAAAGAATGCTAATATTTCACAAGTTTGCTGTATTTCTTAATTAATAATAAGTATAGAAGATTGTATCATTATTATATAAATAACATGAAATCTATATATATATATTAGAACTATTTTTTAAATAAATGTATATATGTTCTATAAATTTCTAAAAAGATTTTAATATGTTATATATCAAATCAGATATTTAAATATTCAAATATAAATATTAGATATTTATGGAGTAATTTTTATTAAAATTCTCTCTGAAATTGGTTTTAAATTTGATTTAAGATGATATCAATAACACAAAAGTTATTTTTCATTTAAATATAAATATCATATTATTTATAAATACCATATATATTTTGTATTTAAATGTTAAGTATATTCTGTATTTAAATCTTCCAATTTGATTTTAGTTTCTTAAATATTCAAGTATTACAAAAACAATATTTTTAAATATATTAAATAAAAAATTTATTTTTCCATAATACAACTAAAAAAATTTTCATGTTTATCAATTCTGTTTTAAAAGAAAAATTACAGTTCATAAATATGTATGTACATAAACATCTGAATATAGAGATTCTCAAGATTATACAGATCTCAATTTACAGATAACAGAAAAAGGAAATAATAATTTAGAAAAATCATTTTAAAAAAGAAAAAAGAATCATAGTAATATTATATATATATATATATATTTATAAATATTATGTTAAACATAATTATCAAATTCCTTCGCATAATAGTAATTTTTAAAATAAAAAAAAATCGTGCAGTCTCGAAGAAATACATCGTCAGCGTTATCGCATTCCTTATAAGTCAATATAATAACTTTCAGAGAATCCATATATATCCCTCAGCGATTTGATAATTGGATCTGTGTATATACAACGTATCCACGCAAAACATTGAAAATCTGCCATAAGAAATTAATAAAACGGCATTAACTCCGTGATGAATCACGACAAGGTATTCGGAACGATCACGCGATTTTCTCCAGATTTCTCTCGGATACCATCGGATACTTTGATACATTTTAATACGTATCCGATTGTTACGACGATCGTTCCGAACCATTCCGAATCATTCGCGATTACGCACGGTATCGGCCCAATGGGCTGGCGTCAGATATCAATGATACATGACACGCAAGGGGAAGCAAAGAGGGACTGAAGAGGATTGGCGAACTTACCATTTAAGCGACGCAGTGAGGAATCACCGCTTCGATTTGCTTTCACGAACAGGGATCGCCAACATTCATCAGAGATTCTGCGACCTAGTGAGAGTCTTATACGTGGAATACCCGCGGCGAGGAGAAATTGTCACTCTGAAGACACGATGTCGATGCGTCGTCGTCGTCGCGTCATGACATTTCACGAGTAAATGTTCGCAGTTCACAGTCTGTTTACAATTATACGAGACAATCGCGAAAAGTCGCGTGAAGACACGATGACGCGTGAGTTGTAACGCCAGAAACAGATGGGGGCAGTGATGGAGGCAAAACTGCCAAGCCAGTAAAACCCAGAAGTAGAACCAGAAGTGCCCAGAACTGGAGAAACCTGAGAGAGGTCAAGTCGACGTTTTTCGTGACACCGTCCATGGTCAAAATTGGCAGAACACTAGCGCCAATACATCAATTTTCTTTTATGGGTACTACGTGGCTACATCCATTTTCTGACCCTGTCAATAAAATCATAATGCGGGGTCTACAATAGAAGTCGTAGCGGTCGTAGGGTCTTAAGTCGTAGAAAATTGACCAATCACAGTCGAATATGAGAAGAATAATCAACTGTGATTGGTCAATTTTCTACGACTTAAGACCTACGACTGCTACGACCTCTATTGTAGACCCCGCATAAGGTCTGTTCTTTTTAGCTAAAGTTCTTGCACTTCCTTTTCTCTCCATAGATCTGTCCTTTTTGGCTGAACTTTTGCACCAGTTGATCTTTCTTCCCCTTCTTTCCTCCTGGAGAGATATGTGGGGTCTACAATAGAAGTCGTAGTGGTCGTAGAGTCTTAAGTCGTAGAAAATTGACCAATCACAGTTGATTATTCTTCTCATATTCGACTGGTGGAATTCGTGATTGGTCAATTTTCTACGACTTAAGACCCTACGACTGCTACGACTTCTATTGGATG